TTTCTCTGAGGAAAGTGACACATTGCCTTGGGGACCACACCATTGCATCAGTATCTGCTCATTGCAGCCGCCCTGGGGACAGGAAGCCACATGGGGTGAGGACATCTCCCTGTGCACACACCATCCTAGGCAACCCACATGAGTAACGGACTAGAATATTTTGGGGTCTGTCTCCCTTACTAGGCTGTGAGCCCCAGAAAACAGATGATGTCAGACTTGGTTTCTGACTCTCAGTACTTGCAAATCCAAAACAAGCAACTGTCTAAGTAATAAGTCTGGTAGCAACACCACACCAGATACCAACCTTGAGGGTTCGCCATTTGTCAGGCACCGAGCTGTGTACTTTCCAGACTTATGCCATGGAATCTCACCGCCAACCTGCACCAGTCACTAATCCCATTGGCAGAAGGGACATAGGTCTGGTGATCTGGGGTCAGCATTTCTTGAGTACTCACAATGCTGGGTACTTGCTGTGCACTGTGTAGGGTATCGAGTCACCCAAGTGCACCAGCAGCCACTAAGTGGAAGATATCTCAATTGCCCACGTGGAACCCATGTGTTCCCTGGACCCTTCTGTGGCAAACCTGGTTGTCAAACACTTCTCCAAGATCACCCAGTAATCTGACCATGACACTCCAGCACCAACCTTCTGCTGGGCCTTTAGGAGGGCACCTGAGGTCCCCATGCTCTGGCCTGTCCCCTTTCTCCCTCCCCACCTCCTCTTGTTCTTTAAGCTCTACGGTCCCCCAAGCATGCACTGATGTTGCACTCCTCTGCCTTTGCACTGGCTGCTCCCTGTGCCTCTGTGGCCTCTCCCTGTCCTTCTCCAATAGAACATCCCCTCAAAGGTCAACTCAATTGTCACTTTTTCTGGGAATCCATCTTGAAATCGACCATAGTCTTCATCTCTCTTCTTCCTAGCTCTTTCCTGCTGTGTACTGTGCCTCCTTGACCTTGACCTCTACACAAGAATGCTCACACATCTGTCTGCCCCATGAGTCGAGAGTTCTGAGGACCAGGATGCCATCCTGTATCTTTGTCACCTGGTGGCTGACTTGGATCCTCACACTTCCACACTTCCTACATTCTCTGAAGGTTTGCTGAGTGAATATTCAGCTCTTCATTTCAGCTCAGATTCAATCTAAAAAGCACTGGGTGGTAGCTGAAACATTTCTGACTTCCAATCTGACAGATTTTAGAGAGATTATTTCTTTTCTCCAATTGTAAATCCCATTTGCTCTTTTAACTCATGAAAACTCAGCTCTGTGCAGATGTTCCTTCTGGGGTCATTCTTTTCTATCAACCTTTTGGGATCTTACTTATCTGCCTCTTCCTTGAATCCATGTTTGGAACATTCTGGAAATCGTTCTTAGGCCTTTGAACTGAGCGGCTCACATGACTAAAATCAACAAACCTGGCCCTTGGCACTAGGAATTTAGAGCTGTGAGAGCTGCAGGATTGTGGCTTTAGGGACAGAGCTCTCCTTCCCTCCACTGCCTGGTGCTGTCACCCCTACAGCCTCTGAAGCCCACCAAGATTTCCCTTGTGATTTATTCACTAATTTGGTCCTGAGTCCCTTCTAATTAGGACACCAGAAGCCTCAAGTCTTATGTACAGCCAGGGCAACAAACTTACTTCTTGTCTGAGAGATACGGTTTTTTGGTATAGGAGGTCAGGGTTAAAAAAGTCAGTTTGGTATGTGACAAAAGCAAGGGCTTCAGATCCAAGTAGATTTGGGTTCAAATTTTGACTTCTTCGCTTGCCTGCTGTGTGACACTGGGCAGCCTAATTTGCCTCTCTGGACTTCTGGTTCTTTGAATATAAAAAGAAAAAAAGATGTAGAAAAAAGTGAGCCTGCACATAGTAGGGTCACATTATGTGTTGGTTTCCTTCTGTCTTTTGAAGGAAGGGCAGCTGTAGGGAATGGTCAGGGGAAGAGCCAGGATAGAGAGCTTCCTCTGACCCTCCGTGTGAGGCCGGGAAGGGAGGCCCAAGAGAAGTCTCTGGGGAGAGGCCTGGGTAGGTCTGCTAGGCATGATGTCAAAAGGAGGACAGGGAAGCAGAACTGGTAAGAAATGTCCCTGGATGTCTTCAGTGGTCCAGGAGCTACATTCTGTTTGCTATTTGCTGAAGGCAGTGAAACTAATGTACAGAATTACTGAGGAGGCTGCAAATGGGAGTTTCTGCCCCCTCTCTCTCCCTTCTCCCTCTCTCATCAGCCCTCCCTGTGGAACACATCTTTCTTGGTCTCTTCTTAGTGCACCTGACTTGGTGCACCTGTGGTTTCCGGCTGTTCTTCTCTCCCACGTCCTCCCAGGGGATCTTGTCCTGGCCTTGGCTGTGCTAATTTCAGTATGGTGACTCCATCATCCACACATTAGTCCACGTTGCTCCCCGGTCTGGTTCCACTTCACATTCAAACTCATCACTTCTACCTCCCCATGAATCTGCTGCTGCAGCTGTGCTACCTGGTGAACCATCCAGAAACCTGGGTGGCAGCCTTGATACCCGCCTCACCTGTGTTCTCCTCCCCATCAGTCCCTGAATCTGAAGGCAGTGGTCACCTTGGCCAGACATGTCCTGGCCCTGGGTCATTGTGGAAAAGACCTAGAAAGGCCAGGGTCATAAGAGGCTTTATTGGAGTGGGTATTCAGTATCCCAAGTACACCCTTTTCAAATGAATAGACCTGTGCCCTAGTGAGTCTCCTGGAATTTCTCTGCCAGCAGAGGTGGGCTGAGTAGTGCTTTGGAGCTATGTTTTGGGGTCACATTGACCCAGGTCTGCCTCTTACCAACATCTGTTAAGCCTGTCACCCAACTTTTGGAAGCCCCAGTTTCTTCACCTCTAAAATGGAAATAAACCACCAAATAGAACATACATTCTACTTCATGGTAAGGGCATCAAATGAAGCTACAGATGGAAAGCACTTAGCTCAGTGCTTGATGCATTAAAAACACTCAAAAGCATGTTGCCTGTTGTTTTTACCATTATTTATTGACAGCCTTCACTTAGGTTTAATACCTTAAAGATATAGATAGGATTGGCAGATTCTGGGAAGATTTCGAATCTCTGCAAATCTGCCTATAAATGCTGACAGGGCAAATAGATAGTGGTATCAAAAACGCTTGGATGCTTTTACTTCAAAACCCAGTTGTTCCAACCCCCAAAATACAAGTGTGTGGGAACAAAACTCAAACTATGTCAACCCCTCCGCACTAGTGATATCTGCACAGAAGGAACTGAGAGAAACAACAAAGCAGCATCCGGTGAACCGGAGAACAAGGCATGTCACTCCAGCCAGCAGGTGTCACAGGTAAGCATGGCCACCAGGCTGAGGGCAGCAGTTGAAAATGGCAGCAGTGTGCCAACCCCCCACAGCAGGAGAGTGAAAGGACCCAGTGAGGTCTGAGGGAGGTGGGGAGTCTGGGACACTAAAACCATTTAGTCAGTCCAGCCAAAGCCCCCTTCTAGGAAAGAACCCTAAAGAAAACCTGTGTGGTAGAACCTCATGGAGTCGGGTGGGGACTCTGGACACAGTGGGAAGAGGGGGGATCCAGATAGAAATGGGGGGAAACAGAGCCAGGAACTCTCAGACATCAAGCTGCCTTAGGGTCTTTCTTTATTTTTTGTGGTGCTGGGAATGAAAACCAGGGCCTCGAGCACGCTAGGCAAGTGCTCTACCACTGAGCTACATCCCTAGCCTCCGCCTTAGGTTTTTGACACTCCATAAAATAGCAGGCGAGGTGAGTCTTTTAAGTCAGGAAAACTGTCCTGAGCCACACCATCTTCTAAAAGTTCAGGAGAATGTATTTTACCTTAAAATTAGCAGCAGGGTAGCACCAAAGTCAAGTTCTGTACCAAGTAACTGTAAGTAAAAGGAGAATAAGGGGTGAAATAGCACTCTTCCAACGTAAGCACACTGGAAAGACGCACCAGTACAACAGATGGGAACTGTAACCTGCTGTTTCAAAGGGGCTGAAGGACATAGTGGTGGGTTGGATCCCATGTGGCCCCTTCCACAGGGCTGGCTATGTGACTTTTAGCCAATTGAAGTTCAGGAAATGTGAATCAAGCAGTTGAGTTCAGCATGAGGACTGGGTATCACCATCTTGAAACATGGCCACCATGTGAGCCACCTGGTGATGGAAGACCATGTGGAGAGAGGCCCACTCAACTCTGCTGACCCCCCAGCTGCACACAAGTGCCTGAGTGAGCCCCCCAAACCAACAACCACTCAGTCAAGCAACAGAGTTGTGAGGAGCAGTACATTGCTGTTGTTCGAGGCTGCTGAAGTCGGACTGGTTTGTTACATAGGAATTGATAGCTAATGTAAATGTTCAGAACTGTTAAAATCAAGTAAGATGTGAAAAGAACCTCAATTAGAATAAAAATACCTCAGAAATTAGCCATGAGAATTCAAGAAAAATAAATAAGAGGAAATCGCTTCAAAAATAAAAATGTCACTAGAAAGCATACAAAACAAACACCACAGGTAATGCCTTAAAAGAAAGAAAGACAGCCACAAGGACGTCTTTTAAAGACATGAAAAGATAGAAAAGATTTGACAGAAAGTGCCAGATCCTGAAGATTGTCAAAGAGGATCCAACAAGAGTAGCGTCCTTAACAGGGAGACGGAAACAGAAAAGTGACACTTCTACCAAAAGTCTTGAAGAAAAACCAGTTTGAAATTACATGCTTAGAGACCACTGTTTACCAAAGAACATGGTGATATCTGGCAGTACTACTGGATTTTAATGAAACAAAACAAAACAAAAACACCTGGGCAAGCCCGAGCCCAGCCTCCCAGGCTGAGTAGGATTTCTCTAAAATATTCAGGGGAAGAGGGTCCTGTGAACAGGGAGAACAGCCTGGGGAAGGTCAAGCACTGGGGGAGCAGGGCACTGGTGGGGCCAGGTGTGGGACACAGGAAGTGTGTGGGGGAAGCTGATGGCTGTAGACATGGCCTGTCCACACCAAAAGACCGGCCTGGAGCACTCACCCATGTAGGGCTTGGTGCCTGCCATGGAGGAGGCCTTCTCCAATCCTCTCACGACTGTGGCGATGTTGAAGTCGGTGATGTGAACGTGCCCTGTGAGGACAGAAGCAGAAATGCCAGTTAGCAAGAGCTGCTGGCTGCTGGGCTCTTCCCTGTGTGACTTGAAGCTGTGACCTGCAAGGTGAGGGAGAAGGAAGCAGGTCTTAGAACTCGTGTTAATAATTGTATTTTATCTGGCACATAAAAATGTCTATTCTGGGGGTGATCTAACCAATATACATGTAATCCTATTCAGAATTATCACAAAGAGTCACCCCTGCACAACGAATATATCCTAATATAAATGAAGCAATGTCTATTTTAATGTGTACAATATTTAAGAATATGAATTCATTTAGCACTGCATTATTATAATCTGTAAATAAATGTATTGAGAGGCAGGAAAACAATGTGTGGATTAACAGTTTAGGGAGACTGATCTAGAGACTGAGGGCTCCATGTCACCAGACGAGGTGGGACACTGCAGGGTGTGCTGAGGGCACTTGTCAGGGGGCCGTGGTGCTCTTGTTTGTCTGCTGTGGCCCATGGGCCATTAGCTCTGAATATGACCGTGTCAGTTGGAAGGCGGGGGTGGAATAATTTCCAACCAACCTGAGCCACACAATGCAGGCTCAGCTGCCAGTGCTGATGTGCGAGCGCCCTGCAGGGCCCCAGGTGAGATGTGGCAGGGGTGCAGGTGTAGTGGTGATTGGCTGTGCTCATTGGTGCTGTGCTTGAAGCTGAGGTTGCCAGCAGGTCTCAGCTGGAATGAGTTGTGGCTCAAAACTATTTTCTCCATGCACACTCCCATTTCCTTGTTTTTTAATTTTTTTCCCCCAGTACTGGGATTTGAACTTGCACCTAGGCAAGAACTCCACCACTTGAGCCATGGCACCAGTCCTTTTTTTTGCTTAATTTTCCTTTTTCTTTGTTCCGCCCTCTTGTCTTCTGATTTTATTGAAGAAAAAACATAGAAGATAATAAGAAAGACAGCGTCTTTGCTAGTTTGAGGTAAAGATAGCTATACAGAGAGATTCCTAGCATTGCTTCCATGCACTTGTGTATTACAATCCACTTTGGTTCATCTCTACCAGACCTCTTCACTACTTCCTGGTCACCTTCCCATAGTGGTCTCTGTCAGTTTAAGATGACTTCATTTGCTCCTCTACAGTGAGCACATCAACCACATTCAAGTTTTAGGTTTCCTTCCCTTTCCCTATTCCTCCCGTGCACATTCTCCCCTTAGTGTGTGACCCATATCCAATAATATTACTGCATTTGTTTTGGGTCTATAATCCACATACGAGGGAGTATAGCAGAGAGGAGGACCAAAAGAAAACTGTCTAGGCCTGAGTCCTGCAAAAGTAGCAAGGAGGTAGTGATGGCAGAGCAGAGAGCTAAAACCTGAAAAATCTGAACATGAGGAAGATCACGTAGCACCAGGGAGGGGGAAGTCACACAGCACTAGGGTAAAGTAGACAATAAAATTAAATATAACCATAAATGGATTAGACCTTGCTTTTTGCTTCTGTAACCTGCTTGCAAGGGTCTATAAGGGGAGACCCTTTGTTATCAGTGCTCAGCCTTTGGACATGAGTCCGCTGAGTCTGTGCTGGCACAATTAACTGTTGCTTCCCACTAAACTGCATCAGAGACTTGTATCTCAGCTAGCAAACTCCTGCAACATTTCTTGGGGGTACGTTATCCAGGATTGTGGAGATGGTGAGTTATCACCTCTCTTGTCACTTGGTTGTGTTCCCCAGACCACCAGGAGGAGATCCTACCAAGTGTCAACAGACAGCTTGATCCAGAGTGAGATTCGTCCTCCTGGTAAGTCAGGGTGAGGGCCTTGGATGCACAATGGAACCCAGTGAGGCACAGGAACCAGCAAGGGGAAGGGAGAGCTGCTCATCAGACTGATAAGAACCTGGGTTCAAATTCAGGCCTGCCCCAGGAAGTAGAAGGGGAGACTGATCACCTCCCAGAGACCTCTAGTAACTGCCTTTTGAGGTGAAGCCGTGTCTCTCAGGTTCAGGGAGCAGGGTGGAAGTACTGTGTTGTGTGAGAGTATGTGAAAATGTGAGCTAAGATGCAGCCCATCTGGAGAGTGAGTGAGGAGTTCCCTCCTGCTGTGTGTCTGTCTTGCCATCTCGTAATGGGAGGAGATGGGTGGAAATCAGAGTAAAAACACTCCCTTGGAGTGTATGATTAATAACTTTAAAAAAGGGATTTAATGGAGACTCTGGAATTAACTCCTAACAAGCTAAAGGTCCTTTGTAAGTAGATTGGCCTGCTTTTGGTGTAGGACGGCCCCCGGAAGGGTCACTAGATAAAACTGTGGTTAATGCAGTTTACAGAGTAATTGTAAAAAAAAATGAAAAAAACAAAAACAAAAACAAAACAAAAAAACCCCAAAACACCTAACACCCAGGAAAATGGGAAAAGCCAAGAGGCTAAAATTGGTCTTCAAAAACCAGACTCTGTTGTTTATTTAAGTTCAGATAGCAATTTATTGGGCAGACTGAGGAAAAATCAGGGTCTTCCAGTCTTGATAGGTAGCTTTGGTGTCCCAGTTTGCACATCTTCACCCAAAATGGGCATCTGAAGGAGGACTGAGGCTCAGCACTAACTGACCTCTTGCAAAAATTAACACATGAAGGATGGACTTGCACTGATACATAAGATCTGGTCTGACTTGAAAGAAAATGAATGTTGCAGAAGGGTTGTGAATGAGAGGGAGGGAGAAAGAGAGAGAGGAGAGAAAAAGGGGAGAAAGAGAAAAAATGTCATGAAATGTTTGGAGACAGAAAAGGATGAAAGGTTTAATACACTCCTTCAGTTGAGTTTTTATGTCTTAAAAATAAAAAGTAAATAGAAAACAACTTAGGATTATTAAAATATGCCAGAAATACTGAACTTGCTGGCACCTTTATTTCTAGGGAGCATAAACAGGGAGAATCTACATAAAAGGGTGAGAAAAAGAGCAACTTTGACTGTTACTGGTAAAAAAAAAACAAAAAAAAACTGTTCCAAAAGGTTGGTGCAGTAAGCTTGGTCTGATATTGAGACAGTCATGAGGTGCTTATGTTTCCTTTATTAATGGCTGGTTAGATTACGCATCCATCTGATGGCGTGCTCACAGTGTGTGTGTAGGTGTAAGCATCTTCAAAATGGTTCTTAAACTGCTGCTATAAGGTTAAGATGATACTCAAGGTAACAAAAAAACCCAGTGTATTTGTTTTAAAGATCTCTGTTATAAACTGCTTAGGCTTTTTCCACATAAATATGTAACCATCTTGAGAACAGTTCTTATTATAGAGTCAGTGCAAAAATTGTTACTCTGTTCTGCTGCTACTTTTAAGAAAGCAGGTTATGAAACTCATTTCAATCAGGTCTCACTAGGATGCAGGTATTCAGGGGTTAACACTCCAGCTCAGATAGGGGGTGGGGGAGGAGAAGAAAAGGGGGCACAGCCTGCAACAGGAATCTTGGAATTTGAGTAGTTAAAGAAATGACCTTCGCATGTTTCATTCTGTCATAAACACAATCTGGAACTTAATTCTCTCTTATAATACATGGGTCTATTAACAAATGGGCTTACTATAAAATTCTTTTATACAAAAATAATCTCAAGGTTGCTTTCTTTCTTGTTTTCCATACAAATGTAAGGCTCTAAGTGAAAAGATTTTATGAGTTATTTTCAACAAGTAACAAAAATATATAAAAGGTATTAAGGATATGTTTTTTTAAAAAAGGTAAAAAAAAAAAAAACCTTGGATAAAGAAAGGGTAATGACAAGTTTCCCCAGAGGGTACATATTAAGTTTCACAGAGATATAGATGCTTATATAAGTGATTAAGTTAACTAAAATCTAAGAGTTACATTAAAGGTTTTGTAAAGTCAAAATTTAATGTACTGATGTTAAACTAAAACTTAATTCTCTAAGCTCAAACAACAAGACTATCTTTAAAATAATGTCTTGATAATGTTTACCAAAAAAATTGTCTTAAAATGGTTTTGTTTCGTCAAGGTAACTATCAGGAATGTTTGATGCCACAGGTTAACCCACAAATTTGTCAAGACAACAAGAGTTTATTAAAACACAGAGAGACAAGAGGCAGCTGAGCACAGGGAGTGCTGCTGCACTGATATGAGGGTTAAGACAGATTTACTTACGTAAAGCCAAAGTGCACCCTCCAGATAGGACAAAGAAAACAAACTCAAAAAGGAGCACTACACTGGAAGTCAAGACCTCCAGCTTTTATTGGACTCAACAGAGTGAAGGTGTTAGTCCTACTCCTTCCACATGTTGAATGGAGGGAATTTTTGGCCTGGGATGTCCAGATTGGGCCTGTTATTTTAGGGGGCCTCCATTGACTACAGGTTGATGAGATCCTGCTGCAAGTTACGAGCCATCTGTTAATGTCAACAATCTGGGATGTGATCTCTTATCAACATCTGAGCCATGATTCTTGGCCACTGTGTTTCCTAACTCCACACTCAGTCCCCATAAATATTTACCTGTGTTCTCTGGTGATTTTTGTTGGGGTTTTGACTACTAGTCATGTTCACTTAAGAGTTGGTTTATGTTGGGGTTAACAATGAGGACAGTCATGTTAGGACTAGACTTCCTACCCCTTGCAGATGGCTTACCTTTATCTCCCTATACAGATGCCAAGGACAGTTGGGCAGACAGTGACCTAAGTTCAACTTATCTTTCTTGGTTGCCCAGTAAAAAAATCCCTTAGTGACCTTCCTGGTACTTTTCTACTAGTCCCCTATATCTAGCCCAAGCCTGTGTATGGCAATGGGCTCTAGTTCTCTTCTGCGGACCCCCTCCACAGGGCTCCTGCTTAAACAATAAACCCTGTACTGTGTTTGAGCCATCTCTCTGCATCTTCCATACCTCTTATTTTCTAACAGCCTTATATAAACTTTTCTAGATGACCTCATGGTTAAACAACTGTTGTCTTGGGTGATTCTAATGCAGTTGGTACCCTATAGGTATGTGTCTGTGACTGGGCTATTTGAGTTTACTAAAACTGTTCTCCCCC